ATTTTAAAAATTATTCTATATTTTATAGGTAACCAGAGCAAGAGAACAAGATTTGGAGATATATGAGAAAATAAAGGGGCACGAACAACTAGACGAGCAGCAGAGTTAAAAGCTTTACTTAAAGGAAGACCATAGTAGAGCTAGTTACAATAATCAATCCTAGATAAAACTAAAAAAATAACATGAAGGAGAAGAGTAGGATTGTCAAGGAAAGACAAAAGTTTTTTATTCTATGTAGATGAAAGTTAGAACTTTTTTTTGTGCCTTATTTTTTTCAGGACATTCGCGATCATCGACTTTTAAAGAACTTCTAGCAACACTATTAATCTAAAAAGAAAAAGACATCCTAGAATCAAAGATAAAGCTTTGATTACAAAACTTGTGAGTAACATCAAAAGTTTTAGAATCAGGTAAGATAATAGAAGAATAGCAATAGAGCGTTTAGATTTATTACAACAAATTAAGTTTTAGACATGACAAAAAGCTTCGTAAAATACCGTTTTGGTAATTCGTTGGCCCCCATGAGGTTTACTACGATAAATCAAAAAATCTCTATTGCAGCGTTTTGTATATTTCATTAGGTACTGCGTTATAAAAAGTAAAAATTGCAGGTTAGAAAAAGCATAGCTGATAACAAAACATTGGTTCTTTATTTAAACCCAGTGTCTCGAATATAGCTAAAATCAATTTCAAACGCTTTGGCAGCAAAAAATCTGTTTGTGCCCTGTCTTATGCTTTGAAGATATATACATCGCGCCAGTCAGATAAGTATTGGTAGAATCGTTGGTAAGGTAATGTGTGGCGTGTGACAACATGTACATCAATGGATGCAATTAAACTCTATTGTTTAGTTTTACATTTTTTAATGCAATGTTTTCCGTTTGCACCTACACATGTCGTTCTTAATGGACGTTTAACGATTGTTTAATTATTCAAATTTTTTTATTTGCTCAACACGTATATATACCATCATCATCATCATCCTTCTCATCATTATCATTGTCATCATCATCACCGTTGTCATATTAAACATTGTAACCGTCATCATCAACCTCTTCATGTCCATGATCAGGTCATCCTCGTCGTCATCATCATCATCCTTTTAATAGTTGATGTTGTCATCGATGTCAAACTTCATCAACGTAATTGTACAGAAGCAATCATCATCAGCCAGTATTATTGATATAATGTATTCGTACATATTATATACATATATTGTATATATATATATATATGTGCGGTGAGAATTTTCGACCTACTTCCGCATCTCTTAAAGTACACCAACCGTGCTCCGTGGTCGGAAATTCTCACCCTTTATTTACTTGTGGATTCAAGTCGACTCACAGTAATTTATTAAGTCTACCAAATTTCTAGCGTAGGATAATATTTAATTATGAGGCTTTTGCCTAATGGAAAAAATGAAAGCACTGAGCGATTTAAAGTTAGTATAAAAAAGAGGATTCGTCAACCGCGCCTCCGCCCACTCATCATCAACCGAACAACGTGATGCGGAATTGTAAAGAATTACGAAAATCTTGGTAAACAATGAATACTGCATAGCAGTAGTCGAGGATATAATTGAAAATAAATTACAACAACTTAGCAGCCTACAGCATAATAATTTTATTATAGGAATCATATGAACACCAACTACAAAACGGACGAATCCGTCTTAAAACAAACCATTCATAAAAAATGTCAAACCAACTAACCCTTCTGACAAAATAAAACTGCTAATTTATTATGGAATGCAAAGGCATCAAACCTTGTCATGAATAACGACTGCACTCCTCAATATTATTCGGCTTTGAAACGTAGCCATCTGATATATGAATTTACATGTCCCCTTGACGGCTGTGCAGTTGAGCACCTCAGAAGGTTTCATATATCGGAGTAACTACAACATCGCTAATTAGACGTCTGACCATGCACATAAGGGAAGGTTCTATAAAAACACACTTAGAACACGCACATAATATTGAAATTACAAAAAAAATTCTGGACAGCAACAGTATAATAATACTGTACTGTAGTTATTACTGTACTGTAATTACTGTAATTCTATACCGTATACTGTAATTCCAGTCATTTCCATCTTAAATCAGCCGAAGCCATTCTTATCGACCTAAAACAACCCCTGATAAACAAACAACAAAGGTTTTCAACAACACTCCCGACAAGAAGAATAATAATAAAATATACTAACAACATCACTAGTACCGATGAAGACACTGAAGAGAGCAACTTCGACCAAAGTGTTATCGAAGAGCAAGTAAATAATATCAAAGCAAAAACACAACACCGTAGCAATAAAACACAAAACCAACGTAATTAGCTCGAACAAAAAAACCATATCAATTAATAAAGAAGATAGCAAAATTAAAAAAGTCAAAAATAACAATAAATGCAAATAACAGGAGCAAAGGCCTGGGTTATACAAATTCCCTATATAAACTGCAACAAATTCTGAAGATGATTGAAAAATCGAAATAGGTCCTATACACTCGAGAATGAATTGGAAAACTGTATACTATTCTAAATTTAATAAAATAAATAATGACGACAAGAATTTGGTTTGAAATAATGAGAAATATTATACAAAACTATCTAACGCAAGAAATTTGGTAGATTTCATAAATTACTATATACATACACATATACATGTACACATCATAAAGTTTTATTTTAAATTAACAATTTACCAATAATATCACAAACATTTATACAGACAATAAACAATGTTCAAAAGTAAACTCAAGTCTTATTTCTTTTCGTTTTTTAAGCCAAATATCCTCTTTGTAGTATGAGTTGATTTAACGTTGTCAAAGTACTCTATTTAATAATCGTTTCTTTGTTTTTATTGAACAATTGTTTTTTATTGTAGAACAATGCGCTTTTGAGGAATTTCGATGTTGTATGTAAGGCTGAATAAATGTTTGAATAATAACGAAAATAATAGATAAATGAATATTATACAGATAAACAAATAAATAATAAATATGTTAATTATATATTGCAGTTGATTTTTATCTTAATACAAACATTAATATTAAATTAGATATTGTAAATAACTAATAAATTTATGAATAAAAAGTTTTTTACTTCTAACTTCTTTTGTTTACTCATTTTTTGTCCATTTATGAATACTTTTTCTAATTTTTTTTGATTGATTGATTGAATGATTGATTGATTGATTGATTGACTGACTGACTGACTGACTGACTGACTGACTGACTGACTGACTGACTGACTGACTGACTGACTGACTGACTGACTGATTGAATGATTGAATGATTGATTGACTGACTGACTGACTAATTCATTTATTCATTCATTCATTCATTCATTCATTCATTCATTCATTCATTCATTCATTCATTCATTCATTCATCCATCCAATCACTCATCCAATCACTCACCCAATCATTCATCCTGACTAATTCATTCATTCATTCATTCATCCAATCATTCATGACATAATATCGAATTATTTGTTTTTTTTCATTTATTTATTTTATCATTCACTTATTCATTCATTTATTGATATTTAATATGATATTTTTTCCTTCGTTTATTCTTTTTTTGGATGTTTGTTTCTTTCTTCATTCCTTTCTTCACATCTTTATTAAAAACAAAGGCCACTTCAATATTTACTTATTTATGTGGCCTGAGTAGCAACTGCCGTCACTGCCTGACTGAAAGATGAGCGAGCAGCATGAATGCTGAAGTAATCCTGTCAGACTGGAAAGCATTAGTTGTTGAGTTGCGTGCCTGTCTCGAGATAATGCAGCTCTTCATATTGTTTGCTGGACAATTTGAGCTGGTGGTCAGCTTGTTGCCGCGTTGTTGGTCATCTCTTCTGCACGTCGCTTTCAGTACGCTTCATTTTTTGGTCTCACGCAGACATTTATTCAAATTTTAATAAATTTAAAATTTTTTAATATGAGCTATTTTTTGTTTACACTAAAACTTTTGCATATCCCAAATTATGTATGAAGACGTCGTGTTTGTAGTTTTAATTTAAAATTTGATTCATACTTTTTAGTAAAGTTTGAAATTATTATTTCAATAAATTGTTTCTTTAGTTATTATTTTTAGCAACAAAAACTAAAATAATTAAAAACCAAAAAATTATCAATAACTTTAAAACAGCATAGCACTGTTGGAACCATGCATTGCAACCACATCAACACTCGCCTTGAAATCGATACTGAACAAGTCTAACAACGTTCATTGCAAAAACAACCCGAAGCTGTTTCAGCAATGAAATTGTTTTTATCAGCAGCTCCATCGAAATCATCTAAAAACGAAGTTGCTGTAAAAGTAAAAAAAATGCCATACTTTCAATTTTGACGCATATAAAATAACAAAATTGCTATTAACACGAACTCCAACATCCAAAATAATTTAACAACAAACAAAATCAAACTTTACCAACAACATTCTCAACAACTTCCACAAAAACATCCTCAACGACATCTTCAACAACATTCTCAACAACAACATTTTCAACAACATCCTCAACAACATCCTCAACAACAACATCTTCAACAACATCCTCAACAACATCCTCAACAACATCCTCAACTACAACTAATTTTTGCTAATTCGGACAGGGTGTGCATGACGAAACTGTTGTTTGCTAATAATATGGGATTAAACACGTGCAGCGGTAAAAGACAAACAGCACACATCAGCCAGGCGCATGTCACTGCGAAATATGAACAGAACTTTTTATGATTAAAACCAGCGAGGGACACGGTGAGTTGAATTGTGAGGTCCGCACTGCAATCAATCATCGCCCGACACCCTCACAACTCTCCGATGAAGATAAATTAAATAATTAAAAAAAGATGAATGATTCTCTGGGGACGATCATTTACCAAACGTGTCCTTGCCGTTTACAGCACTAATTCAAATAAATTTTTCTTCCGTTTAAACAAAATTAAATTTTAAATTATATGCTATTACGACGACCACGGACAGCCCTTTAAAATTTGCTACGTGAAAAGCAGACGTGAAAAATTATTTCGAGCCGACATCCCAGTGCAATTAAAAAATTTAAAATTGGAGGACTCACGCGCGTCTTCGTCGTAGACGTTGAGGTGGGCGGTGCTGCTCAGAATGGAGTGCTGGTCAAACTCCAGCGTGCATTTGTAGCTGCCAACATCCTTCTGCAGCTTGACCGGAGATATCCGCAGAACCGACCCAAGGAAGAAAAACCTGCTGCTATCTTTGAAGTCTTGATTTTCTTTAAATTTAGCGACAGTCGGCAAAATTTTGTTAACAAAAATCCTTTGCTTGCTAGGGAGGAGTTTATCATCCTTACGCCAAGTGACATTGTAGGGCAGGTGGTGATCTGCGTTCGAGTTTTTGTTTTTGTTGACGCTGGAGATGAGGCGGTGGTTGTTGTTGTCGTAAATTCTGCAGAACAAAACAGCGCTGCTTCCATCGACAACGTGGAAGTTCGATGGTTCGATCGTCATCAGCATATCTGTCGTGTGTCTTTTGCCGTGATGTTTCACGAGCTTTCTGCTGAAACTCTGCAGACCTTTCAGCGTGTCGCCATCGATAATGTGACTTTTATATTTAGAGTCAACGACAGTTTTTGGACTGAACCTCTTATCTTTACGACTCTTGTTCACCATAAAATCGATGTTCATGCCATGAAAACCTTCCATGTCAGCACGGGGTGATGTTGCAGAGTGCTTTTTCATCGGTTGAAAACTTATTTCAATGTTGTCACTGCTTTGGTTGTTGTCGTCATCAGAAAATGTCACGTGGTCTGTGTTGACATCAGTGTCGTGGCGTTTGTAGCTGTTGATGTGGCTCACTTCGTTGATCAAAGAAGAAAGAGGAAGATGTTCAGGTGGTGGGTACTTCGTCATTCTGTCTCCTGCGCTCTTCTTCATTTCGTTCCCTTCATCATCCGCTCTGATACGCATATAAACTTCATCCTTGGCACTGATGATGATTGCTTGCGTTGATGATGATGATGTTGTTGATGATGGTGGTGATGATGACGATGTTGTTGATGATGGTGGTGATGATGACGATGGCATAAAGAGGAGTGATGATGATAACAAAGTTGATGGTAACGTTAATGGTGATAGATTTGAAAGAGATAATGACGATAATGACGATGATGATGATGATGACGATGATGATAATAATGATGATGACGATGACGATGATGATGATGATGAAATTTTCGTAGATACTTTTGTTGGGTCTGAACGTTTGTTTCGCTGACTTTCAGAATGTGAGTAAAACTGAAGATGAAGATGATGATGATGACGAGAATGAAGATGAGGATAACGATGATGATGATGATGAAGGTGATGATGGTAGCGATGGTGATGATGATGAGGTTTCTCTTGCTGACGTTGGAAAGGGCTGTGATGGGACAGCCTGTAATGACGAGAAACATTCCTGTTTTTTTTGTTGCTGTTCCCAATCCTGAAGAGTGAAGCGCTTCGAGTTTTTCGATGACGTTGTCGTCGTCGTTCGGAGTGGAGATGATGATGACGATCTCGTTCGGAGTGATGATGATGACGATCTCGTTTGGAGTGATGATGATGATGACGATCGTCATCCTGATTGTGGTGTTGGTGATGAGGACTCTGATGATTTTTTATTTGAAAATTTGGGTGATGATGATGATTATGATGGTAGTAAAATTGACGTTCCATAAGTTGTCCATGTAGATACTGGAGTGAACGTTGGTGATGTTGACGAGGGAGATGATGGTGGCGATGATGATGATGATCACGACGATGGTGGTGGTGATGATGATGATGATGAGACTTCGGTCTTGAAGTTGTGTTTAAAAAGGTTTCATCCCTGAAATGCAGGTGTTTGTTGACTGGAGGAAAGGGTGGGTCGTCGGCTGCAAGCGGTTGGTGGTGACGGAGGGATGGAACTTTGTGGAAGGAATGATGATGATGAAAAAGAGGATGATGATGATGATGAGGATGTTGGCAAGTTGAATTGCTTTGGTAGCCTCGGTGATCTCCATCTCGAGTACAATCTGCGTGTATGCGTGTGTAGATACATCGTACAATTTTACATACATACAACCATCGACAACCATCAATTATAACATTTTATTAATTATACAAAATTAAGAGTTTGAAATTTTTAAAATCAATCAAACTGTTTAAATTTTTAAATAAATTCAAGTTGCATTGTGAAGTAAGAATTCATTGCAACTGGTCGAAAAATTTCAAAGTTTGTTTTTGAAAACATCCCAGCAAAATTATTTATTATGGTTGAACATGTTCCGGCATGTATATTCAGAAATATAACAGAAGGTACCTCGAAGGGTTGGAACGTTGGGTGGCCGTGGAGTGTTTGCGGCATGAAGGGTGCTAGCCACCATGAGCAGGATGAAGATGTAGTTGATGTTGTTATTGTTGGTCATATTTTTGTTGTTGATGTTGTTATTAATAGTGTTGTCAATGTTGTTGATGATGTAGTTGATTTTGTTTATCTTGTTAACGTTGTTATTATTATTATTATTATTATTGACGTTGTTGTTGATGTTGCTAATGTAGTTGATGTCAATATTTTTGTAGTTGATGTTGTTTGTGCTCAAAGAGGGATGTCTTGATGGTGGGTGCAGTTGATCAGATGGACCGTGTCGTGAGTTCCTCGCTGCTGATGATGATGGTGGTGGTGGTGATGGTGATAATGATGATGATGACGATGATGATGACGATGAAGAAGTTATTTGGAGCGCTGGTGAAGATTGTGAATTCACGAGAGGAGTCCGCGTGCAAATATTCCGCAAGTGGAAAACTGATAAAATGTACGCTGCTGCTGCTGCTGATGATGATGGTGATGATGTGGGTGGTGATGATGATGTGGGTGATGATGATGATGTTGTGGGTGGTGATGATGATGATGTTTTGGGTGGTGATGATGATGTTGGCAGTAGTTGTGGAGTTGATACTGCCAAAGGAAAATGATTTCCATCAGCTAAAAATGAGGATGACGGAACAAATGATGAAAACGACGAAGATGATGAAGATGACGATGAAGATGATGAAGATGACGATGAAGATGATGAAGATGACGATGAAGATGATGAAGATGACGATGAAGATGATGAAGATGACGATGAAGATGATGAAGATGACGATGAAGATGATGAAGATGACGATGAAGATGACGTCACTGCAGACCGCAACAACGATGATCGCTCGTCTGAATTATTATCATTCGTTCTGGGTACGCTCGATGTTTTTAGCAGAGTGGTTCTTGATGGCAGTGGTGGTAATGATGATGATGATGACGATGATAATGATGATGATGACAATGATAATGATGATGACGATGATAGAGAAATTGAAATCATCATAACAAATGCATATTATTTGAAATTGGACTGGTATATCTTCGTGTGGGTAAAGGTTAACAGCATTCGTTGAAAAAAGCGGTAATGATTGATGATGTTAATGATGAGGATAATAATGTTAATGATGATGATGA